GCATCAAGTTATCCACAAAAAAGCGATTACAATTGTTACAATCTGCTCAACCTTTATAAATAACAATAAAATCATTAAGGGTTCTCAAGAACTACTCACTGTTGCCAGAGACCTGGCATACAAAAATATGTAGAAATATTTTTTTTTTAAAGTCAGAATTAGACTAGTCGGTGATATTCGACTGAAACCGTCGCGGAGAGTCACGTTATAGATATGAGAATGGGGGAAACGGGCCGGCGCATTTACACTAAACTTTTCTGCGGGCCGCAAAATATAGTCTTGCGGGTCACATATGGCTCGCGGGCCGCGAGTTTGAGACCCCTATATTAGATGTTTATTTATTAATATTTACGATTATCTAATTTTTGTTAGAAAAGAATGTAAATATTTATACTTTCCCACATCATTTTCGATGTATGCAGAATGTATGCGGGAACGAATTTCAAAATTTCTTAATATTTCATTTTCGGTTTCGGCTTCGGGTTCGGCCGAAATTCATTTTTAATCTTCGGCCTTTTTTCGGTTACGGCCGAAAGTCATTTTTAAAATTTCGGCCTTTTTTCGGTTTCGGCCGTAAGTCATTTTAAACTTTCGGCCTATTTTCGGCTTCGGCCGAAATCAGAAAATCACTTTCGGTCGGTCTCTATTACTATGTTAATATTGTGGAGAGTCGGACCATGCACGAGCGCTGGACCACGACGGCGCCTGACGTAATCCGTCTGACCACCCAAGCTTGTGGAGAGTCGGACCACGCACGAGCGCTGGACCACGACGGCGCCTGACGTAATCCGTCTGACCGAAGGATCAAGCTTGTGGAGCACGACGGACCCAAGGATCAAACGCCTGACCAATTACGGCCGTCTGACACCCAGACACGACCATCCATCTGACCAGGGCATTATACCGGCCATCAGGGATTACGGCCGTCTGACCACCCAGACAAGGATCAAACGCCTGACCATTTACGGCCGTCTGACACCCAGACACGACCGAAGGATCAAGCGCTGGGGGGCGTATCGGCCATCCATTTGACCAGGGCATTTACCTGGGACGTCTAGACCATGGCGACAATTGAGAAACAGGGGGCGGGGTATAATCGGGACTGGGAGAGGAACTATGGAACGGGGAGGTATAAATAAGGAACTCTGGACGGGACGAGGGAGAGAAGGCGGCCGGACTGAGAACAAGATAGCAGAGAGAAGTCAGAGTTGGGAGATGAGTGAAAGTGTAAGCAAGTGACAGACCAAATAAAGAACACGAGTTTAATCAGCAAATTTATCACCAGAGTTGTTTCCTTATTGAGTACCAGATCTAGATGAAGTTTGTCAGATAGTAAGCAAGGTTCCTTACAATATTGATTAAAGTTTGGTCTTGTTGCGTATTATTTGTCATGATTTCTCTCGTCAATTCCTCTATCAATTAAAGAAAATAGTGACTTGTTTTTGTTTAGTCCTGTGAGTGTGATATATCTTTATGTTTTATAAATATTATTATTAATTCATATCTTTTTATTTGATGTAATATTTTAATACATATATGACATATACCTATATGTAATTGATCGATTGAATTGGATATAATATATATATTAAATCAAATATAATACCAATACCTGTGGACATACACATTACAATGGAAGTTATTAAAGAGTTAGTAGCAATAGCTAAAGACATGGGGTATGAAGGTGATGAACTAAAGGAATTTGTGCATCAAGAAACACAAAGAATTGAAAGAGAGAAGATTGAAGAAAGAGATGAAAGGGCTGCAAGAAGATCACATGAACTGGAAATGAAAAAATTGGAATCAGCCAATCTTATCAATAACAGAACACATACAGAAGTTACTGAATCAAGGAATAATCAAAAACATCCCCGTATCAAATTACAACCATTTGACAACAAAAAGGAAAATTTTGAGTATTTTATAAGAATATTTGAAACTCAATGCAGTTTACAAAATATTCACAAGAGTGATTGGAAGGTGGAGCTATTTTCAGCTGTGACAGGATCAGCTAGAGACTCCCTAGCATGTTTGCAAAATATAGAAATTATTGACTACGAAACAATGAAGGAACAACTTTTAAGACATTTTAACAAAACAGAAGATTTTTATAGAAAAAGATTTCATGAGGCTGATTTAAAAACAAGTGATGATCCTCAAGCATGGACTGATAATTTATTTGCAGATCTATCTTCATGGATGAGGTTGACACAAATAAACATGGAAGATCCAAAAGCTATCATGGAATTAGTTGTCATTGATAAAGTCCTTAATTTGGCTAATGAAGGATTATATTCATTTATCAAACAAAGAAAAATAAAAGACATGAAGGGATTGGTTACTGCAATTTCAGATTTTAAGGCTAGCCATCCCAATGCAAAGTTGTCAAATAAAAATGACAGTGAGAACATTTTATATGCAATGAGAAACCATAAAAGATATAGTAGTCTTCCAGATAAAAAAAATACAAACAGAAACAACTCAAATAGAATATTTAATTGCTGGAGTTGTGGAAAAGAAGGACATTTAAGAAGAAACTGTCAAAATTATACTAGATTTAATCCAACAAGTAGAATACAAGACTGGAATCAGGGCAAGAAATTCAATTATTATCACAATGTTAGACAGGAAAATAACAGAAGAATATCACCTAATAATAGTCCACCAAGAAAAGCTTATGAAAGAGGAAGATCAGCATATAATCATACTGTAGCCACAATGTTGAATAGTAAGGGACAGTTGAGTTTTTACCCAGCTTATGTTAATGAGAAAGAAACATTATGTCTCAGAGACACTGGATGCTCAACAATAGTTGTTGACAGAATATATTAGTGAAACCTGATCAATTTACTACATCTAAAGAAAATATTAAGTTGGGAGATGGACAAATTATTTCATGTCAGACAGCGATTATTAAAGTTGATACACCTTGGGTAACAGGAAAAGTTCAAGCAGTGGTTATGGATAAACCTATAACACCATTGATAATAGGTAACATTCCTGATGTGATACCTGACAATTCTGAAATTTTAATGAAACAGTGGTTAATGAAAAGACAACAAAGAAAACTGCATGCTTCTACCCAGTTAGAAACAGATGTTAGTCAAGATAATGAAATAAAAGAAAAACAGAATGACAGCATGAAAGAAATTACAATGAGCAAATGGAATGGAACTGAAAATATGGAAAAATACATACATAGATTTAATGCCATTGCTATAAATGAAAAGCTATCAGATCACATGAAAGCAATTTTACTTAGAGGAAAAATGATAGGAAATGAGAAAGCATATAAGATAACACAAGATAACATTGGAAACTATGAGAGCAGGAAAGAAGAATTAATTCACAATTTAACATAAAACAGAAAGAAGAATGAAAAGAAAGAGAACAATAATCAGCAACATGAACTTAGTGTGATAACAAGAGCACAACAAAAG